GCGGGGCCAGGAGCTGACCGCTGCATCGCTTTAGAGCCCTCGCTGCCTGGCACGCTGGTCGTCGGCATCATCAGTGGGATCGGCATTTGTGTCATCATCTTTGCTGCCATCTGGTTCAGAATCCTAAGGAAGAAACAGGCTTCCCGTGAGTAGGTGGGGGAGCGACTGTCCTCGGGCCCCTGGATGTAGCAGGTGGGCAGAGGGAGGGCGGGGGTGGGGGGACTGGCACTCCCCGAAGCTTTCTCTCCCTCTTTCGGGGCGCTGGCATCTGCCTGAGAGCGGAGTCTACTTCTAGCGTTTGCTCAGAGTGAAAGCTCCCAATTCACAAAGGGCATTTGAGCACCTGTCGTTCCGCAAGGTGCTGTTTAAGGCCTTGCGGGGTGCGGAGGGGGGTCTGCTTAGTCCAGGGGGGGCTCAACCTCCAGCCGGGTGAGTCAGCGGAGGCAGACGTGCTTTGAACACGCGGGCGGCCGCGTCAGCTGGGGACCAACAGGTGCTTCTGGTCCTGAAGCAGCAGGACCCCCTTGCGCGAGGCTTCAGCCGCGGGAGGTCTACAGAGATGGCGCCGCGGAGCGCGTGAGGCAGTGCGGGACGGGAGGTGACCAGTTATTATTGCACCTCGTCCTCGACCTCGACCTGGCCTCCCTGTCCATCGCCAGTCCTGACCTCTGGACGGACATCTGTGCTGTGGGGGACAGGGGGGGCAGCCGGAAGCCTGCTCAGGTAGAGGCTGGGGGCCACTAGGGTGTCACAGTGGGTCCTGGAAGCCAGTGCAGGGACATCGGCAAGACGTGCGCGGTCTCCGCTGTGGCGTGGGGTTTGCGGAGGTGCGGCGGAGGCAGGGAGGCCACTCAGAAAGCCACCAGGCTGCTCGCGGGGAGAGGCAGTGGTGCTGGACACCTGGCGGTCCCGCGGTGGCTCGTCGCCGTGGGGGGCTGAGGGAACGGGCAGGATGGTGCCCAGGCTGTGCCGTCTCTCGCCCTTGCAGGAGCCGCCGCGGCGGACTATGTCTTAGCCGACCGCGAATGAGACGCCGCCTGCAGACCAGTGAGGGCCCCGCAACCCGAGACTCGGGGAGGGCGCCCTCTGTGGCAGCCACCGTCTTGTTTCCGGACAGACTGGGGCCTGGCAAAGCCGGGTGCCCCCTCCTCGGCTTCCTCCCACGGAGTCCCTGGTCCTGCGTGCCAGCACCCTCGCGGTGACCTCCTGGGACTGGCCCTGCGCGCCCCGCTGCGTCCGGAGCCCGCCTTCGTTCAGCTGTCCGCTGGACCCCACGGCACATCGCCTCACCTCCTTCCGTGTAGGGCCTCGTCATTCTTGTTAGCGTGTGACAAAGGCCTGACTGAACCTTCTCCCGGTGACAATACCGTTGTTTGCCTGCCACGATCTGCCCCCCCCCACTCGCCGGCGTTTCCAGGCCCCTAGTTCCCTGCCAGTCCCCTCTCTCTGTCACCCACTAATCCGACCGTCACCAAGCCCGGTGGCCTCTTCCACCAGAGGGACCTGGCGGCTGTGCCTACTGCGGCAGGCGAAGAGGCGCCTTCTCCGGAAGAGGCATCGTGGGCGTCTGTGTGTTATGACCATTCCCCAGACGGGGTGGGAGTGTCTGGAGGACGGTGGCCTTGCTGTCACGCGCGCGAAGTTGGCACACAGGCTTGCCCAGGGCGGCGAGGCCACGCTCGCACCACCTGCCCGCACGCCCGGCTGCAAGTGCCGGCGGCTCTCCGCTTGGCCTCTGCTGACCCCCTGTCCTTGTCTGATCGTGAAGATGATCCCAAGGTCGATGACGATGATGA